AAATGTTGACATAGAATTTCTCTTACCTCAGTGTTTTGTAATAAATCTAATGTTTTTCTTTCGATGTCAACTCTTTTCTGGATTTCCTTTTCATGCACTACATCATGTAAATGTAACTCTAAGAGTGTATTATAGATCAGTGATGAACAACTTGGTTGCACCTGAAACAAAGATTAGTATTACTGTAAAATACTTTATTTTCGCTTGGAGTTAACTGAAGGAAGGATTCAATGAAAATTAAATCCAGTGAACATATCCTTTTTCCTATATTTCACATTCAACTTGTCAAAAATCAGTGAAAATAAATTCCATACAAAACATCCAAAATGTTTTTTCAGCAAAAATTAATTCCAGCTAAAATAAAGTATTTTACAGTATTGTCTGTATATTTCTATATTTAAGTTACACAGTGTCATAACTGAGCAACCATGGTATATATAAGTCCTACCTTATTAGGAAATGTAATTTCTAAATAAGAAAATATGGAATATTTCAAAGATGGTGTCCAAAAACGTAGTACATAGAAAAAAATTACTATTTTTCAAAACTTTCTCCAATACTTGATCTGTTTGATTACCGCTAATCACTACGTTTGACACGCATCATGCAAGATTTCTCACAGAATGGTGAATGATCCTAGTGAACATATACCTTGACCATATGTTCTAAGAATTCAGTCAATCTGCTGGAATTATTCACGAATATATGAATGAACTCTTCAGCATGGGCTTTGTTGATCCTTGGCGGTAGGCTACCATCCATTGATGCTGGATCTACAAGGGGTTCTGAAGAAAACAAACAAGTTAAATAATAAATAAAACTGAAATGAGTGAGTCCTTTTGAATCAGAACATGAGTGATTATATATATATATATATATATATATATATATATATATATATATATATATATATATATATATATATATATAAATAAATAAAAGGGGATTAATTAATAGATGAGATTCAAGTTCCTTGGTTGCTATGATACTAAGTTTGCACGTCAGCGTTGATTCCATGATACAAAATAGGGAGGGGTGGAATTTATGACTAGTCAGGAGTTAACTCGCTGATTTTTTTACAATTTATTTATTTATTTATTTTTTGCTCACACAGAGTATCTGAAACAAGTTTATTGGTAGTTAGGATTATTGAGAAAAGAGAAATACTATGGATCACAACAGCTTTGTATCAAAAATTTTGCTATTAGCTCTTTCACCACCAGTTCCTTTTTTTCATTACAAATTCACAAAATAGCTCTGTTTATAGTCTGCTGTTTCCGTCAGAAGATTGGGACAAAAATAGCCCAATTTTTTGTGTAAACACAGAAAATTGACTAAAATTTCCAGAAATATTGAAAGAATATACAAGCAGCCTATCGGCTGAGAATAGCTCCGCTG